GGTAGAATGAGCGCAATAGATGTCAGGTCGGATCATGTGAAATAAGAAAAAGGCAGTTGTCTATCATACGCTACATTGTTGATCAAGTGCCTGTGAACCACCAGCCATAAAAGATCGAATGCAGAAGAAGAATTGGTGCTGAAGCAATTCCTCAACTTTGGCAGTTTAACATTTCTCTTCTGAAAACTGAAAGCATTGAATTTTTCCGTCTCTTCAGCAGTAACCTGTTCCCATCGTTTTCTAATTAACATATTCTCGTGCATTGACCTAACAAACATATCCAATGCTAAGTTAGTGATGAGTGGTGTAACAACGTAATGGTTTACAATAACTTGATCTTCGATGACAGCGACTTATTCTGCATATCGGAGATTTCTGCTTAGGAACACAAAACTGACAATTTTATAGCTTCTTTATGACCGACATTTGGGAGCTGGTTGTGGACGTGACGAACTGCAGAATGAACTGTTATGGAAGAAGCGTGCGAATTATTCAGGAGCTGAGAAGATTCAAGATTTCTGCCTAAGATGGCCATTGATAGACTGCCACAATAAAGGGAGTGTTCGAGTTCCAGTTCCGGCTTTGTGTGCAATCCTATTACAGCTCATGTTATGGCAAGAGGTATATGTGAAAGCCTGTAGGAGAATCTCTATTTTGCTGTGAAAGCAATGGAATACTCAACATGGCTGGCGTTATACAAGATTGGACCGCCAGTCAATCTTGTCAGTGGATAATACAGCGGAACAATAATCTAGAGGTTTAGCAAAAAGCATTTGGAAATAGTCATTCAAATGTCATTCCAATCGCCTAGCAGTTGACGTGTTGCGAAGTCAGCGATGCCGTTGTACTGGAGTCGTGAGAGCGACGTCACCAACACATTAATATGCCACAGTGTACAACAACATACAGAGCTAGTTGAAGTACATACTAGATGGATGGCAGTTGAAGTTCTGCAAAGAATGTCGTAAATTGTAGTCGACATCGAAATTTGGTTCTGTTGCGAATTGTATGCGTCCCGACATTGAGAAAGAAATCTAGTACTCAAGTAAAGCTACTGGCACGACGATTGTTGATATCCGATGAAGAGGTGCAGCGCAAAAGGAACAGAAGGACATGTTTCACATGAACGTAAAGGAATCGGAATCGATTATTAGATCTAGGTTGGATAAACGTTGGTATTCATTCCAATCACTAAAGACAAAACTGAATGAGAGCAGAAACATTTTTTTCTACGGAATTCATTTGAATGTATTCGAATGCAAATGCAATGTGGCAATTGAAACACTATCTGAAATCCTTGCGTGTGGAGCAATGCTTAGAGGCGTAACTGCGACACACGAATCGATCCCAGCGCCCACGGCCCGCCAATCCATCCCTCCAGGGTCGGCAGATTGGTACTAGCCTCGTCTGGGAGGATAGTAGCACTGGCTCGATACATCGGTAGGCCACCGTGAGCCATTGAATTGGCCAGATATGCATTCAATCACCTCCAACGATGCGTAATGAAGTCGAATGCGTAGCGCATCCCTCAGGGATTGATCAACGCCGGATGATTTATCCTTTATCATTTATCTGAAATCCTCGTCTGTTAGGGGTAGTCTTCTACTTGTACCTTGATCTGTATAGGAAAAGTTGGTCGCTTTTCGATTGCACTTGTTGCTGATTTGACCATGAATAGAAGGCACCTACTCAACAGTTATCATCGCAAGCTCACCTCCATCACCTCCTTTCCTGAACGCTCGCAAGATTCAGCCAGTTCTCCACTTGTAACAGTACAACTGATATTGTTGTATTTTTCATATGTCCATTCATTAATTATAAATGACAAATAGCCGAAACGAAACCTAAAGCACAAAAAGGTTCATTTACTGTGAACATAGAAGTGTGGCCTGTAAACGCGAAAAACCTTTGTTGGACTGTTTGGAATAAAAAAGCTCACATGGTGAATAGATTTAATTAAAAAGAAGACAAGGTGTATTAACAAATGTGAAGGGATGTGTGCGAAATGTTGAATGCAACTTGTTTTAGTGAATGACTGCAATGATTTTTAAGTCGCTTACTGAGACTGGTCGCGTATTTAATAATGGCATTATTATTTGTATGGCTACTACGATGGTGAGGCTTGACGTACCCGCAGGTTCCGTTCGAACCCGCGACTACTCTTTCCGAGGGCCTGTATGTTACCTGCACCACCGAGGTCCCTGATTTGGACTTTCTTGCAGCTAGTTTCTTACATTATTTCGTATTATTATTGTTTTACATTGCCTTACATTTTTAGTTACATTGTTTGTATGATTAATCACTGGTGTTATGAACTGTGATCTGCATCAAAACGTTTGTCCATCATATAGAACAAGCTAAGCTGTGACCTCAAAATTTGGTGGTCGTATGCGAAGTCCAGCTAAGATTTAGCCGATTCCACGGCAGAATTCTGGACTACCTATGCCTACTGCCTTGCCAGAAACAGTGAGAAAAACAACACTAGGCAAAAGTATGGTGCTCTTCTTGTCTATTAGGGACTATGTTGCGCGAGTAAACGCGTGAACACGTGGGAAGCACACTGATTAGAAAGGCCACGTAATACACAAGTGACTGCTTGTTCGGACTCGACGTCGTCTCCGTGCAAATAAGCCTTACATTTCCCAGGGTTCGGTAAATCGGTAGCGAATATAGTAACTATTCCTTAAATACCGATTCGTTGCCGATTTGGGACCCCCAGATCAATCCCGTTGACGGGTGATTGCTGATGGCAAAAAGATCGATAGAACTAGCTGAGAGACAGGCAAAACGAAGGACCCGGATGGTGTGGTGGTGAAGTGCGCTACTCCCCGGTAAGGACAATAGCGCGTTCGTTCCCCACCGCATACACCTGCGGTCCGGAGTTTTGCAAATATCTCAGCATCATTGGAGTTATGTTTCACAATGTATACCCTGCCGTTAAAAAGAATACGCAGTAAATAATACGTTAAATTGTTATTCCTTAAGTAGTTCCTATTCTCTACAATACCACATGTATCCTATATTAACTATTTACTTATAACTATCTTAAATCCATCCATTCATAATGTATAAGTTTTAATACCGCTTCGACATGTAGTTTCGATAAAAGCCTCTGGCATACCGTCTCATTTGATGTAGTTCTCCGCAGGTACCGTGTCATGACCTTGGTCAGCACTGTCTCTGACTCCCTTTGTGAAACCCCACATTATTCCATCTCATTCACATGACCTTTTGATAAGTCTTTGCTTTGCCTTTCGGATAACCTTTATCTGCGAGCTATTCAAAGCTCCACCCACTACAGAAGTAATGCAGGCAGCCCATGGGCATTCGTCTTCAAGCGTTCGCTGCGCTCGTTTGGTCTTCATCCAATCCCATGGTTCCTCATTGCTTCATCTCTAGTGTCCACCTAGCTTCCTACAGTTGCATCACTTGTTCTCATTTCAGTCTTGCTCGTATATATTCAGTTAACCACACATCGTCACATATTACATATTATTATTCTACTGTTGTTATTGCTATAAACTGTTATAACCCAAACTCGAGGTTGTCCACGGCACTTACGAAAAAAAGTCCCGCGTGGCGAATTCATAGAAAGTCGAGCATTCCACGTACAGTTGGCGGATAAAAGACAAATCCGACTAACTCCCAAATCCATTGGCCAACTAACACAGCGAACTTGTAAATGCTTTTCTCTCGTCCTGAAGGCATGTAACTGCCTGTGGTGAAGGCTGCCAGTAGAACCCCCTCTGGAATTCAGGAACAATCAACTCGACCAGTATTTAGTGACTTTTATGAAGAAGTTAAGGTCCACAAGTGCAGCTGAGCCCACCGGAAAATCGAAAACCTTTGCGGATGACAGGTGCAAGACAATATGCTAAATGAAAAAATGGTGAGGTTCGCACGATTTAGGAAACTGAGTCATATGAATAAAAAACGAAAGCTGTTGTTGCTATTACTGTTGCTACTGCTGTGATTAAAAATGTGTGCAGTGGATTACTAGATCTTCGTTCCATTCCTTCATTTAACGAGCAGATATGAGAGGTAAAAAGCCGCTATGCTTTGAGTTGTTGTCTGATCCCTTACCAAGATAAACTGGACCCATCTCGGGAATGAATGGTTTCCACATTAGTGGATATTCCGCCCGTCATCGAGTTTATTGTGAGCAACGGAGTCAGGTAAAGCTCATCTGGTTGCATCGTAAAGTACGAAAAAACCATAAGAGCTCTTGAAAAATCAATGAGGATTATCCTATAAAGGTAATAATCATACCAAACACACAATAATTCCTAGACTAGCTACCATTGTTTCAATAAGAACACCAGCAATCATAGTACGATTAAATCGTCCACTAGTTGGAGTGAGTCCAGTCATCCAGTATGTCACTGCCAGTAGAAGCATTCCACCTGGACAGAATATAGGAGTGTAAGGAAACACCTAAATTAGAGAACGAACGGAATTAGTTCTCAACCCAAGACTACGAGTAATTTGGAGAAGCAAGTGCCCCGATCACTCCCAAGGCAGGAAAATTTGCTGACATGCAGATCTAGTGCATGCGATAAGGCACTCATCATTCCACAAAAACAGCAACGAATCGCTCACATCCGGTGCGATTGAAGATACTGCGAACGCCCAATGCTATCAGGTCACCGTAAACCCTCTTAAAAATGAAAGATGAGGTTCGTGTGATGGCTGTATTTCTATAGTTAAATATTATTGTAAAGAGAATATTAATCCCCGGGAGAACACATACATCACATCAAAGTTTTACAACCCGGAAATAAAACAACTTTACAGTGGTCGTGGAGATGTCCTGAGCATAAGCAAGCCAAATGTTGAACACGCAGAAAACAACCGTTGCTTATTTGATGCACGTGGGTAGTTGGGATTTGGAATGAAACTGTATGGAGTATACGTAAAGAAACATAATATTAGGTTTTGTTCTTTGCAGTTTTAACTTAACTTTAAGTTGCAACTTTTAGAATAACCGTTCTTTAATGGAATCACTGAATAATCGTGAAGAAAGAATTCGTAAAATTCCGTTCAAATGATAACAAACTAAGCAAACCGAATATCGGACCAATCTTAGCTAATTGGTATGCGAGCACTAGATAGTTGCCATCGTGATACTCTCTAACTAAGAGCAGAAATTCGTTAGGCATATATGTTTGAATCTTGAATAGGTTTGCTTAGAACAAAAGAAAAAAGAGAATCCTTTCAAATTAATGGCACCATCCTGAATGGTTCGATTAAAATCTCCAAAAAAGTCATTGCTGATAACTGTAGCATAAGAACCGCGCTTACCTGATTGAGTTTGGTATGAAAATACAGTAAGCCAAGAAACATCGCCATGAATGCGTTCTGTAGCAGCTCCATTTTCAAGATTGACTTGTTTCGAATATTGTCCCTCGCATATCTATGCTGCGAGCTTTGCTCATTCTTCTATTGCATTTACTCACTTCAATGCTTACAGCTGTGGAACTAAGAAGTAAAGTTAAATGGGAAGCACTTCCAGTCGATTCTGTACTATGATGCATAGTATACATTTACTTCCATAAAAACACAATACAATACAACGCTAGCTGACGTTTCGGCAGTATCGCCTTCTTCAGAGCCGCTTTTTTCGTGACTTCCAATGAGGAAGTTTAGAACAGCTGATTCTTTGATGCAAAGTCTTTCAGTAGCATGACCCAATAGGACGCATAACGCTGAACAAAACCAAAAACGCAGTTAGTTTTTCCGGTGGTCACGATACTTTCAGAACATTGAATGCGGCAACGCAACGTGACATGGACGATGCTCAAATTCACTGGAACGCTTTACGGGTAAGTGGCGATTTTTTGTTGACCTTTGAGTAGACGAGATTTTCTTGCTCAGTTTCTAGAATACGTTATTATCAGCTGATATCGGTTATATTATTCATGCTGACTAGGAATAAAAACATGAAGAAACTGATTTTAAAGGAATTTCACTTGGAAATACTAAAATACGTATGTCGTGGATTATTAGTATTTTCCAACGGTTTACCACCTCATCGTGGCTGGGAGGTGTTAGTAGGTGTCCGACTGCGATATACAGCGGGGGAATTCGTCCCCCTGGCAGGGCCTCCCAAACTGAGAAGGAGTCCTGCGTTTTCATTAGGAAACCTAGTTAAGAGTAAACCAACGCCAGGGTCTCCCACTGTCCTGGTATCAAAGCTATATGGTGGCAAATCTCCCTCTGTTCCACAAGGGCTGTGACTGCCTGTGGTGGTGAGGACCTGTGGCAGACTTTGGCCAGTCTTTTCGAGAAGCCGTAGATCTTGTAACTATCGTTCAGGTTTTAATCTTTCGGTTTGTGTTGAAGTGTTTAACCTAGTAAGTTCGTATTAGTGCACCTTTCCAGGTCTGAAGAAGGCGAATTTGCCGAAACGTCTACGGCTGTGTTTTATGTGTGTTATTGCATGGCAGTAAATGTATGCTGTTCAACAACCTCGCTATTGCTGAGAAGGAAAATGACGAATTTATAGTCCATTGCCGAGGTTAATAGAAAGTCGATCCTGAGAACTATCTAATCCGTTATGAAACTTGGTTATAACAACAGTGACATCTGAGGAAAATACACTGTCTTATATGCTTTAACGAATAATCTTTATTCCCATGTGGTTGTCTAGAATGTCTTCAACTCATGTGTTTAACACCTGCGAGTCCATGAAAATAACGGAAATAAAGTAATAAACGTACTTCCAAAAACGAAATTCTATACCTGACCTTAAAGAGAACGTAGAAACGAAATTTCGAAACCGAGCTCCGCGGTGAGGAAGTAGAGGTCGTGCTTTCTGGGCTTCTGTCATCTGAGCTCGGATCTGACTTACATAACTAGAGAGGGCGAACTAAATTGGAATTAATGGCAGGGTACGTTGCGAAATATAACTTCTATAATGCTGAGATACTTGCAAAAATCCGGACCGCAGGTGTCTGCGGTGGGGACGAACGCGCACCATACCACGCGGGACTTTCGTTTCAGAAAATTAGAACTATAACCTCAGCTTAACTGGGTTTAATGCCGATTTGGGCTCCCCAGATCAATTCCACTGACGGGTGATTGCTGACGGCAGAGATCGAGAGAACTAGCTGAGAGACAGGCGAAGCAAAGGACCCGCATGGTGTGGTGGTGAATGCGTTACCCCCGGAAAGGACAATAGCGCGTTCGTTCCCCACCGCAGACACCTGAAGTCCGGATTTTTACGACTATCTCAGCATTATAGAAGTTATTAACTTTATGACAAACCCTCCCTACTTGGCCAAATGGCAGGTGTCTGAAATACACCCATCAAATTCAGTATTCATTATGAAAGAGCTACGTAACATCAATGATCCGCTGGATTCATGTGATTTGGAAGGATGTGGTCACATTTGGCGAACAACCATACCTGCCTCATCTGGAGGACCATGAAAAGCAACGTAACCCTGAGCGAGGAAAACCGCCTGCAAATAAAGAGTGAGATAAACTCTAAATAGATGAATGAACGACGTAACATAGGAAAGGATTCATTCGTAATCGCCATCAAGGATTCATTGCTAAGACTGTTGCTGTGCTTCGTACATATTGCCTTACGTATATTTTATCTCTTGTTTAAGGAAGCTTGACCTTATCGAAAATTTCAAATACCTCCGACGAAGGTTGATGTATCGTACGAATTACAAAAAAAACGTGAGACCAAAAAACGTTAAACGTTAGCCGGAAACAAATATACTTATCAACCTCGTGTAAGCTCATCAAAGAAAGAGTACAAATTACACAAAAGACCAGCTTTCTATAAACCTCTGCATAGATAGTTGATATATTTACTTATATGATCTTATAAACTGATCTTCTTTAATTCTTTCTACTTCTGTTCAGCAAGCACGAGGTGTTGCTTTATTTCTTTATTTACGTACGAGCTAACGTTTCGGCGGATTTCGCCTTCCTCAGAGCCTGGAAAGGTTAAGTTGACTGCAACCTACACGGCCACACACCTCCATAACCAAACAGAGAAAATGCTGAACAAAAATTTCAATCACGTTGAACACAGAGTCCTTGCACACTCACCGCTTTGTATGCGTCTTCCACTAAATATGTCACGTGGAGACCAACCGCACAGAGTTCACGTGGAATCCTGATGTGGCCATCCCATCAGAATAACAAGCTTATATACTGCCTAATCTCACGCGTGATAATGAGGCATTCCTCCCTGCAGTTCATTTTCGGATTCTTGGAATTAATCCAGAACGCCTCGAGAGTTTTGCGCGCTTGTGTTCTCGATTTTTGCGCGAGGATCGTAACCCCTACTTCAAAATCTTCTCCGCTATGTCTCTGCGTGCTATGCGTGCCTAGTGGAGTATTTGGTTTACGTCTGCCGACTAGGTGCCCTTTTATACGTACGCAGAGTGGTCTACCCGTTTCGCCAACGTATTCGTCCCCGCACGCTTTACAAAAGATCAGATAGACTGTACCCGAACTCATGCAGTCACCGTCTCTACCATTGGGGCAAATTATGCAATTTTGCGCTGCACATAGACGGTCGTATAGGCGGTTACGAACTAGCTGGCGTCTTAGATTACTCGGTGGTATTTCGATTATCGTTACCGAATTCTCTAGACTGGCCCTTCTTAAACAGCGTTCTATTGCTGCACTTATTTCATTTGAAATGAAGGGCAGTATAAACGGGACCTTATTGTCGCTAGAGTTATCGTTGGGGTGCCTATAGTTTCCTGTACACCTATCTCGAGCTACAGTTTCGCAGCCATTAAAAATGGCTATTTGCCGCGCCATGTTCCGAGACTCCTCTTTCTGCTGTCTTCCTGTGCACACGCTGGTAGCTGTTCGAAACATGTTTCTCACAAGTGCCTTTTTCGTGTAAGAGGGGTGAGAGGGAGAGGTAATGAACCAAGTTGTTTTTACTACCTGACTTTCGATACCACTTCGTAATGTAGCCGTTTTCTGATAGGTTAATTTGTACGTTTAGAAATGGAAGCTAGCTTCTTTTTGGTTTCTCTCGGGTGAACTTAAATACTCTGACTGTTCGTCCAACAACTCGAAACATCTGTCACTTCCCTCTTGTGTTGAACAAATGACCAAGCAGTCATCTATATAACCACAGTAGCGTAACAAACCGAGGTCGATTACTAGCGCTTTCACGTTAATCTTCTTGATCTTCTTTAGCTGATGCGAGGTTGCTATAGGTATTCGTTGTCGTTGTCGTTGTTGGTGTTGTTGGTTGATGGCTGACGTTTCGGTGATTTCCTCTTCCTCAGAGCGTGGACGTATTAGAATACTCTAATTATTCGGTGGAAAATAACGCTAAAGTATTAATGAAGATCAAACTTTTAAATAGATGGTTGGCTAGGATGCCACGGTCAAATGTAGCTCTACGCCATATTGAACAGAAAGGCCACTCACCGTGATGTTACCAGTGGAACTGGCCCACGCTTTGTTCACACGGGGTCGCGAGCAAGACACACCCCGGGGTCAAAATATCATTTTGAAATAGGGCGCCAGGTCACGCGTGGTAGTGAGGCATTCCTCCTTCCGGTTCATCTTTGGATTTTTGAAATTTATCCAAAACGCCTCAAGAGTTTTGCGCGTTGATGTTTTTGATTCCTGCGCTAGGATCCGCACATTCACTTCAAAATCATCTCCC